GCGAGGTGGGCCCCCCGGATCCGAGTCGGAGTTCGAGAACGCGAAGCCTGGCCAACATGGTGGAACCCATCTCTATCTGAAAATAACAAAAAAAGGTCCTTATATTTCAATTAGGCAGCACTGCTCTATGGTGTAAATACGTAATTCTAAACATTGTCAGGAGATAAGATGATTAAGAACACAATGTCTTGAGTCACACTGCCTGCCTGTTTCAAATCTTTCCCTGATGCAAAACCGTGAACAAATTAACACTTCCATGCTTGAAGGTCCTCAAATTTAAAATTGCAATAACACAGGATTCAATGAGGACTAAAAAAGTTACACGAAGCAAGTATCAAGTATTAGCATTATTATTACTTATTAACAAAGAAAGAGTATATACATAAAAGTCAAACTAGCTCAAGTGTTTGTGTTTTTTTTAGGAATTCAAGGCCAGGCGCGGTGCCTCACGCCTGTAATCCCAGCACTTTGGGAGGCTGAGGCGGGCAGATCACCTGAGGTCTGGAGTTTGAGACCAACCTGACCAACATGGAGAAACCCCGTTCTCTACCAAAAATACAAAAATTATCCGGGCGTGGTGTCGCATTCCTGTAATCTCAGCTACTCGGAAAGCTGAGGCAGGAGAATCGCTTGAACCTGGGAGGCGGAGGTGGTGGTGAGCCGAGATCGCGCCATTGCACTCCAGCCTGGGCAACAAGAGCGAAACTCCGTCTCAAATAAATAAATAAATAAGCAAATAATAAAAAAAATTAAAAACGTAGGGCATTTTGTTGTTCTTGTTAAGTCCAACATTGAAGGAACTGAGACTGATGGCTAAAATACAGGCTAAAGAAAATCAAGTTTCCAAACTTTGTTTTTTTGAACGGCTCCCTCTCTCTGCTAAAAACAAAAGCTAATTTGTAATGGAACTATTCTCCCACAAAACACGGTAGCTCAAAACTACATGAATTTATGGTACAGCACTAATTTTTTTTGTGGATAAGTCATATTAAGCTAATAAACATCACAGTCGTTTGCCTGACACAGACTTACTATGAAACCCTTCAGTTCTCACCGACCTTAATAAAAAAAACTTTACTTGGACTTTGTTGTTTGCAAGATACTGGCTAAAACATGTTTGAAGCTTTACTACATTATTTTCTCCTAATAAAAAAATCCAAATCTGGAGAAAACGGGTGGCTCCTTAACAATACATTCCTTAACAAGAGAAGACACTTTCATCCCTGTAAGTATAGACAACTCCAAATATCTAGGTCAAATGAACCACAACTTGGGCTTGCTTCCTTTTCCTTCGGGCAAAAAGCTGTTTCAAGTTTTATTCGTCATATAATACTTTTAATTTTCTTGAGAGGTAAGCAAAATACCGTAGAGCTAAGAATATCTTAGTAAAACAGCTAAGCGGTAGTTCAGACAGAGATGACCCTCAACGCTACAAGAACGTAACAACATCCAGAACTACTTTGAAAGTCCAGTTTAACATCCAAGGGAGGATGACAGGTGTTCCTTACTCAGACCCTGTCGGTCTAAGAGGCAGCATTTTCCTACCTTCGCTGCTTTGCAACTGCCTAATTCCTTCGCTATGGCCGTGGAGAACAGTATCAATGCCGTTCTCCTAGACTCAGGTTTATCTTTGAACCAATTACTTAACGACCTAGGTTGTCCGAGGAAGAAAGAAAGTGCCCAGAAATACTGGAGCTTAGGACTGCGTTGTCTTGACAACCTCATGGTCCCTCCTCCGGCCGCCCCCGAAGCACCGCGGGGCCACAGTCCCAGACGCCACGGTACCGGCTCCGGTACGTAAACACTGCCCTTCTCTCCCCTGCACGCCCGCAACTTCCTTCTCCCATCACGGCTTTGCGAGAGCCCACTGGAAAAGGGAGGATACCACATACCCTCGGAAGTGAGGCGGGAGAAGGGCTTAAGCAGCTCCGCGAAGCTGAGGTGATTGAGACGAGTGAGCCGCTCGGCTTCGTCGCTGCACAGCGCAGCGACACAGGGGACGAAGGAGTCCGGGATTAGCTCCTGCACTGATTGTACACACTGGGCCATCGCCGCGGCAGAGGCAGCGGCGGCGCCGACCCTCCGGCCCACCCTGAGAGGTGATCCTGCGGCTGCAGCAGCTACCGCCGCCGCCCGCCGGCCTGGCCCGGCCGGGCGGGGCCCCGAACGCACTGGAGCCTAGAGACAAGTAGAAGGAACAGGCGCCGCTGCTTCGGTTTCTGGGGCACAATCCACTGAACCCCCCCTTTCCGTCGCCGCCGATCCTCAGCGCTCGTCTCCGCGTGCTCGCATTCCACCCCGATAGGTGGAGACGCCGAGAGTCACCACTTAGTCCTTCGGACGGCAAAACCTTGGTCACTGCCCGGCCGGAACCGCCATGTTGAGGCCGAACGCTGACCAACCGGCAGTACTACTCCCAGCTGCCCCCGCGCGCATCCCTCACGTGACTGTTAAAGGAGACAGTAGGGGCAAGGGAAGAGAGCTGAGAAGAGGGAAGTGGAGAGCGACGGAGGCCGGTTGGGAGGCTGGAGCCGGAAGTGCTGTGACGGAAGCTCCCCCACCCACTGGGCGGGGCGGGGCTACAAGTGCGGTGGGCGGGGCCGGGGGCAGCGGGAGGTGGGCAACTTTAGGCCAGGTTCTCTAGCTCGCCCTTGGCAGAGCGGAGCTGAGAGCGACCTGCTAGCGGCCCGCGGAACCTCGGGACGGGTGCTGTCGCAGTGATGGAGGCGCACGCTCGTTTTCCACGCAGGCCCGGCCTTTTTGACGTCCCTAAGGCTCTCTCGCTGGCTGTTGTGGGCAACCGATGCGGTTGGTCGCGCTGCTTCCTACGCTCGCCGGCGGAGCAGTGAGTTGCACCTGCTCGGGGAGAGGGTGTGGATCTCTCGGAAATGCTTGGGGTTTCGCTGAAGCGGACCTGAACAGACCGTGTATCCTTTAAATACAGCCATGCTTTTAGAAACGGACTGTCACTTTATGTGGACTTAACCATTGAACAGAATGTGTGCTGTTGTGAGTGCTGCAATTCACTAGCGTGTAATTGCGCTACTGCATTTTTGTTGGTCGCAGGGAAAGGGTGTGCCTGCAGATGTCTGGGTGGTTCGTCCTCAGCCTCTTCCTTTTTGCACTCTGCTAGGATCTTTACTTACTGGTGGTGGAGGTAGCGGAAGCCAGTATTTTTATGTACTGTGTACTGTCCTGAACCAGCTTTCATTCCTAACTTTTCAAACATTGTTTTAAAGGGGGGAGGGGGCGGAGAGGTCAATGATGTGTGCCTTGTAAGTAAAAGTGAATGAAAAGAATTTTACTAATGTGTCACTGAATTGTTTTGAGTTCCTTCTGTATTACATGCCAAAAAGATAAGGCAGGGAAAAATGTATCATTCTGTTATGATTTTATGGTGCTTTAATTAAAGGAGTCTTCCCCAACGTCAATGTCTCAAATTTTTCGACTTCTTGACACCCTCGGGTTTGTAACTATGGTAATAATTTATGAGAAGTAAGATGTAGGCTTCTCATGTAAGTTGATAAATGGGAGGTAGGAAGGCACAGTAGGACATATTGATGGCATGCATTGGCTACAGATTAATTTATAAGAGTGTCCATCACTTTAGGAGATTTATTTGCCAAAGTTAAGGACGATCCCGGGAAACAGGTCTATGCCTTTCTTCGAAGATGATTTTGAGGGCTCCAAATTTAAAGGGGACTGGGCGGGATATTGAGAAGCACACAGTTTTCGTGTAAGCGGGGGGATAGGAGAAAATAGTAATTCTTGCCTTTGTCTGACTCAGTGAACCTGCATTTTTTACATAAGATGACATAAAAGGGGCAGAGGAAAAATGTGGGAATCTGCATTTTTCATAACAGACAAAATTGGGTAGAGGAACAATCAGATGTGCATTTGTGTCTGGCGGGCTGGGATGACCACCTGTAAAGATAAGCCATCAATTTGCATTGCCATGAAGTTTTAACAGCACACTAAGGATTTCCTTATGGGCAAAATATGGGGGAGACGTGTAGCTTTTCATCTTGCAGCCATCTTATTTAGGAACCAAAAGGGGGAGGCAGATTTGCGTGACCAGTCCCAGCTTGACTTTTCCCTTTGGCTAAATCAGTTTGGGGTCCCAAAATTTAATTTCCTTTTGCAAGAGATAACATCTGCTAGTTAAGGGTCTGGAAATTCATTTCCTTGAAACTATCTATGTCTGGAAATTATGTTAAATCCCTAGGGGTACACACAATCCCTTTTCAATGCTTCTGATACACTTCCTTACCCTTTATAATGTGAGAATCTCGTATAATTTAGTGTGACTCAGGTTGTAAGATTACATTTTTTATAACAGGACTCCTAAATGCAAACATACTATTTATCCTAGTACTCTAAAAAGTTTCAAAGGCCATTTGTTTTTATGCTGAAAGTAAAAACAGCTGAATTAGACTGTTTGAAAAGGAATTTCAATGGTAATTTAGCCAAAATAGATTTTTCTGAGATATAATTCACATGCCATAAAATTTACCCCTTCAAATAAGTGTACAATTCAGTGGTTTTCAGTTTATTCCAAAAGTTGTGCGACCATTACTACTGTCTAATTCCAGAACATGTTCATCCCAAAAAGAAGCCTGGTACAGGCTTTTATCATTCTGCACCCTGCCACGCCCTCCAACCCCTGGCAATCACTAATCTACTTTCTGTCTATGTAGATTTTCCTATTCTGGACATTTCATATAAGTGAAATTGTATAATATTTGGCCTCTGTACACATATTACTACACTTAGCAATATGTTACGTGAATCATTACTTCACTCCTTTTTATGACTGAGCCTAAATGGGTTTTTGTCTTATGCATTGACTTTGCAGGGTTTTTTTGGGTTTTTTGTGTGTTTGTTTTTTAATATGTAGAGATGAGGGCTCACTGTATTGCCCAGGCTGGCCTCAAAATCTGGGCTCTGGTGATCCTTCTGCCTCAGCCTCCCAAAATGGTGGGATTGCTGGTGTGAGCCACGGCACCCAGACTCACTTCACAATCTAATACCACACCCATACTCAGTGTTTCCAGTGAGTAACTTCACTGTGTAAATCTACTTCTTTCATAATCTATCCTGGTCTCTTCTTTCTTTTGGCAAGGTACTGTTTGAACTGTGGAAACACCTTAAAGTCTCGATGATACTGAGGACTAAACTCTGACTTTTTTCCCCCTCTTCCCCAAATTCCTATCTAAGTGGCCTGTGGAGTCACACTCTACAAACCATAAAATGTTATCAAATTGGCCGGGCGCGGTGGCTCACGCCTGTAATCCCAGCACTTCAGGAGGCTGAGGCAGGTGGATTGCGAGGTCAGGACTTCGAGACCAGTCTGGCCAACATAGTGAAACCCGTCTCTACTAAAAATACACAAAAAATTAGCCAGGCGTGGTGATGTGCGCCTGTAATCCCAGCTACTCGGGAGGCTGAGACAGAAGAATCACGTGAACCCAGGAGGCGGAGTTTGCAGTGAGCCAAGATAGTGCCACTGCACTCCAGCCTGGGTGACAGAACAAGACTCTGTCTCAAAAAAAAAAAAAAAAAAAGTTATCAGATGGGTTTTATGTAAACTTACATAAAATGGTTTACTTTCCAACTAGACTCTGGCATAACATCACATGACAAAGGAAATCAAAGTATTTTACCTCAAAATATATTTCTTTGCTGTATTTTGAAATGTCCCTGCAAAGCCATTTTGTGGGGAGAGAGGTAATTGCATCTGTTAAGCATCTCTGTTGGCTGGGTGCAGTGTCTGACACCTGCAATCCCAGCACTTTGGGAGGCCAAGGCGCGTGGATCACCTGAGGTCAGGAGTTTGAGACCAACCTGGCCAACATGGTGAAACCCCATCTCTACTAAAAATTTAGCCGGGCATAGTGGTAGGCACCCATAATCCCAGCTACTCAGGAGGCTGAGGCAGGAGAATCACTTGAACCCAGGAGGCAGAGGTTGCAGTGAGCCAAGATTGTGTCATGGCACTCCAGCCTGGGCAAGAGCAAAATACTCCATCTCAAAAAAAAAAAAAAAAAAGAATCTCTATTGACATAACTGGGTGTCTTCCCCCTTCCAGGCCCTCCCAATTCTGAAGAGATTAACTGAGAGTCTAACCCCTTTTACAGGTCAGAATAGGAAACATTTGCCATCTATTGTCTCTAAGGATGGCCACCTAGGAGACTTCATCTACATAATAAGAACCTTAGTGTCTACCACCCCTTATCTTAATCCAGGCATTCCTTTATGTTTATTCCAGGTCTTTAAATAGTAACTTCACTCTCAACCAATTGCCAATCAGGAAATCTTTTAATCCACCTATGACCTATAAGCTCTCCCCCAAACCCTCTTCAAGTTGTCCCATCTTCCCAGACCAAACCAGTGTATGCCCCAGATGTACTGATTGATGTCTTATGTCTCCCTAAATTGTATTAAAACCAAGCTGTAACCCAACCGTCTTGGGCACATATTCTCAGTACCTCTTGGGACTGTGCCTCAGGCCTTGGTCACTCATATTTTGTTTAGAATAAACCTCTTTAGGGCTGGGTGTGGTGGCTCACACCTGTAATCCCAGCATTTTGGGAGGCAGAGGTGGGTGGATCGCAAGGTCAGGAGTTCAAGACCAGCCTAGCCAACATAGTGAAACCCTGTCTGTACTAAAAATACCAAAAATTTAGCCGGGCATGGTGGCGCATGCTTGTAGTCCCCTACTCAGGAGGCTGAGGCAGGAGAATCACTCGAACCTGGGAGGTTGAGGTTGCAGTAAGCCAGGATCACACCACTGCACTCTAGTTTGGGCAACAGAGTGAGACTTTGTCTCAAAAAAAGAATAAACCTCTTTAAATGTTTTAAAGAGTTTGATACTTTTTTGGTTGACAATATTTACTGTGATCATAGTAGCAGACCTTTTAGTCAGGATTCTTTCAATGTCAAAACAAAGCAAATTAGGCCAGGCACACAGTGGCTCATGCCGGTAATCCCAGCACTTTTGGAGGCCGAGGCAGGTGAATCATCTGAGCTCAGGAGTTTGAGACCAGCCTGGCCAACATGCTGAAACCTGTCCTTACCAAAAATAAAAAACTTGGCCAGGCATAGTGGCATGTACCTGTAGTCTCAGCTACTTGGGAGACTAAGGCAGGAGAATCGCTTGAACCTGGGAGGTGGAGGTTGCAGTGAGCCAAGATGGCTCCAGCCTGGGCAAAACAGCAAGACTCCATCTCAAAAACAAAAAAAGCAAATTAAATTTATACTCGCTTCAGCAAACTAGAGAATTTAATGGCTCAAACTACAGGTAGAGGTGGGATAAAGGTCACAGGAAAGAAGGAAGAGCTGCAAAAATAATGGCTTCAAGGATCAAAGGCCAGGACTTGTTACCAGCAAGTCTTTCTATCTCTAGTTTCTAATTCTGTTAGGCTTCCTTCTTCAGGAAGCCTCTGTCTACATGATAGGGTTTGCCCACATCCCCACATCATATTGTTGAGGCTCAGAATGTCGACAAAAAGAGTCAAACTCTGTAAAATATTTGAAGATACTTATTCTGAGCCAAATATGAGTGACCATGAGGTCCTGAGAACACGTGCCCAAGGTGGTCGGGCACAGCTTGGTTTTATACATTTTAAGGAGGCTTGAGACATCAATCAAATACATTTAAGAAATACACTGGTTTTAAGGGAGGAGACCACCCCTCATATTGTCTTATGCCCAATTTCTGCTTCCAAAGAAAGAAGTAAAAACTAAAAGGCAGAAATGAAATGCACAGGCAGACAACCTGGTGCCGCGCCCTGGGCCTGGTTGAAGATCGACCCCTGACCTAACCGGTTATGTTATCTATAGATTCCAGACATTGTATGGAAAAGCACTCTGAAAATCCCTGTCCTGTCCTGTTCCATTCTGATTACTGGTGCATGCAGCCCCTAGT